CGAGGGGTGGAGTGAGTGATGATTTTTTAGTATAGAGGTCTTCGTAAAGTGGGTTAAAAACACAGTCAAAGGCTGGGTTGGATTTCAAAGAACGTAATTTAGAAACATATTGTAAAGATAATTTAATGCGACGTTGTTTAACTCCACTTACAAACTCCACGTACAAATTATGAATTGGTGAAGTTCTAAAGGCTCCAAGGCAAGCCTCAGACCCTGATGATGAACAGAATCCAGTTTTTTCAAATTGCTGTTTCATGTTCCACCATAGACGATGGACCCGGAATCAAGTTTAGAGCGGATGAGGGCTCTGTACAGTTGGAGGAGGGTTTTCTGCTCTCCTCCCCATTTTGCGTTTGAAATTACTTTTATGATATCAAGAGCCGTCAGGCATTTAGTTTTTAAATAATTTATGTGTGGCACAAAGGTCAAGTGATGGTCAAAAATAATACCAAGAAACTTGGCCTCTTTGACAACTTAGGAGCACCATTCAAAACTAAATCAGGGTCCTTATGCGGTATATACTTTCTACAAAAATGAATGCAGTTGGTCTTGGCTTTTGAAAATTTAAAGCCATTTTCAATACACCATTTATGGATTTTATTTAAACACAATTGCAGTTCCCTTTCAATGGTATGCATGTTTTTACCACGACAAGAAACATTAAAATCATCCACAAATAATGATCTATCAAGTGAATCGTTTAAAACCTTTGACAAACTGTTTATCTTTATGTTAAACAATGTTACAAACAAGATACTACCTTGAGGGACACCCTGATCCTGATTGTAATGGTCAGACAGGGTTGAACCCACACGATCTTGAAATTGTCTATTTTTAAAAACTGAGATATAAATAGAGGCAAACGGCCCCTTAAACCATAATCATGTAGATCTTTTAAAATACCATTCTTCCATGTGGTATCATATGCTTTTTCGTGATCGAAAAATATTGATACAGCATGTTGTTAATTATTATTTATTTATAATGGAATTCTTAATAAAAGATTCTAAACGTACTAAATGATCGATGGTACTACGATTTTTGCGGAAGCCACATTGAATGTTAGTAATGAGATTGTTGGTTTCCAGTTACCAAACTAAACGATTATTTATCATACGTTCCATAGTCTTACAAACACAGCTAATAAGGGATAATGGTCGATAGGGATCACTATGATCTCGACCAGGCTTAGGTATAGGAATGACAGTAGCTTTTCGCCATGATGATGGAAAATTACCAGAAGTCCAAATATTGTCAAAGATATTTAGCATTGTTTCTAATCACGATTCAGGTAAATGTTTAAGGAGCTGATAATGAATATTATCAGGCTCCGAAGCAGTATCATGAGCTTGCCCAAGGGCAGTATGGAGCTCATGAATGGAAAATACTTCATTATAATCCTCACCGTTATCTGAGTGAAAATTAAGTTTCTTTTTTTCTTGTTGTTCCTTATATTTCTGAAAGTTAGATACATAATTGGATGATAAGGCATGTTGAGCTAATGTTTTACCTAATTTATTAGCAATATCAAATTTATCTGTTAGAAGAGTATCACCCTCCTTGAGATGGCGAACACTGGATTTGAACCCTTTTCCTTTAATTTTCTGAACCATATTCCAAACCTTTGAAATAGGCGTTCGTGAATTAATTTTAGAAACATATGTTTGCCATGACTGTCATTTATTTTGCTTAAAGGTGCGACAAGGCTTGGCATTTGAAATTTTAAATTGATTCAAGTTATGGACTGTGACTTTGAGCACCTTGTTTTCTTTAAATACCGCGATCTAAGACGCTATAAAGTGGTATTTATTTGTTTAGATATAATACTAATCCATAGGTGTGAATCCATTTCATGTTACATCTGTGAGGTTTAAGTTGATTTTGACAGCCTGGTCCGAGTCAGACCGAACACTTGTGAGACTGTTGAGAGTATGAGGAGCAGAGGTCTACTTCAACCAACGTGTCTGCTTTAAATACGATGAACAGTGACATTATAAAGTGGTATTTATTTAGATATAGTACGTTCCTATAAATATAAACGCTACGCCGACAGATGAAAATTTGTATCACGATAGCTAGAAGTATTTGGTACGTTTCAAATCTTATTTCGTTTAACGATTACCTAGACCAGCTACGCTTACACACAGCACTGGTTTTCAAGTGATTTACTCCAAAATACTTAATTATGGGGCCCGTTTTTGTTGGTGGTTGTTCAGTAATGTCATGTGTGTATGTTGCATCAATAATATGTAGGTATGATCGCCGACAATGATGTAATTACTAACACTTTGGCCCGTCTTGGCCCGGCCCGACCTGACTTTTAGGCAATGCCGACTTTTAGGCAATGCTGTCTTCGTTGAGTCAAGTGAAGGATACGATAATAAACAATGTTCAGATTCATAAAGAGGAAGAAGCGGTCTATTTGAAAGCAGCATGATGACGTTGTCAACGAAAAGGTGAATTATTACCTGATTACAAACATATAACTACATAGAAAGGGATACTTATTAACTTCAGTAATTATCCTAAACTCGTTTTTTCCCGATAATGCACAGACCTGGTTGATGAACAATCTTGAACTCGTACATGACGATGCGACTTCATACGTGAGACGTGAGACGGGTAATGGCGGGTGACAGTCAGTTAACACAAGTTGACATTTGTGATAAGAATAATATGAACATAAGAGTCACGTCGTGAACATAAGAGTCACGTCGAAGTTGCCTACATGTAAGAAGGATCAAAACCATTGACGAGTCTTACCTTACGGATTTTGATCAAGCTCTAGATGTAACATTATCCCCTAATTCGACAACGATGGAAACTGGACTTTCATAGTCAGTTAACGCCCATGCCTGGGAACATGGTCATTGCCTGACACTGGCCATGGTGTATTTTCCTATGGTTTCAAATAAAGTGAGTGAGTGAGTATGGTTTTACGCTCCTTTTAGCAATATTCCAGCAATATCACGGCGGGGGACACCACAAATGGGCTTCACACATTGTACCCATGTCGGGATTCGAACCCGGGTCTTCGGCGTGACGAGCGAACGCTTTAACCACTAGGCTACCCGACCGCCCCGTTTCACATAAAGACAAAGAGACATCAGATAAGATAATACTATATTATCCTAACGGAAATTCATATTGCACAGTTGCTTTGCACACAAAAAAAAAAAAAAAGAAGAAAATATGTTATAATGAAATATGATACTTACTTATATCTTGACGGGAAAAAATATGTAGAAAATTAAACACTATCACAGTGACGACAAGGAATGGTATTTTGAAGTATGTATCATCATCATTCTCAGGCCAACGTACAATTAATACAATGATAGTATCTCGAGCACGAGTGCAATTATGTACAAATGTGAAGATAGGAGATTGATGGCATCTTAAATGTAATCTGCTAAATGTGTAAGAAAGCATACATCGGAGGACTGCAGCATTGTTATCAAAGTATACCTTGGGTTAACATAAGTATGGACATTGAAAAATGGGAAATATTTTGAACGAAGACTACGAAAAAGTTATATTCTTGATATTTGAAGTCCATGTTTTCTCCCGACTGCATATAGTTCAACTAACATATCGTAACACCGTCTGGTATATCTGCCTCGAGACATACTGAGGAGTTTAAAACAGTATTTCACACATCTCGTGAAAATATCAATACCATAACGACCACATTCCCCTAACACTGCAACGTTTGCAGCCTTTCAACCAACTCCGAAACAAATTTAGAAAATTTGAGAAACACCTGTTAATTAGGATCCAAGATCTCTGATCCATAAATATTCGGCTTAATCTGAAGGCCAAGCAATGCCTTTGGAGAAATAGTTCACAGTTTATAACTTAGCTTCACTAGCTTTGGACACCAATGTCTGACCATCTTTCGACCAACACAATCAATTTGGATTAATAATTCCTAAATAGTTATAATTATATAAGTCAATTATTGTTCACCCGAAAAAACATAGGAACATATGGTACAAGTCAAAATAGGGAATTGGACATCATTTTTGTCACTGATGCGTCAATATCGGAAATGTCCTCCACATGTCTGCCATAAAACGTTTTAATAAGCATTACTGATTACTTGAAAATTGTAACTGGGCATAACTGGTAAGAGTTGAAAGCGCTAGCAAATTAAAACAGTGTTAATCTTACTCCACTAATTCAATCTGGATTATAATTATTCACTGTGTATGCGTGCATTCGTGTGTTCGCGCGCGTGTGTGTGTATGAGTGAGTGAGCTTGGTTTTATGCCGCTTTTAGCAATATTCCAGCAATATCACCATGGGGAACACAAGAAATGGGCTTCCGTGACGAGCGGTGTGTGTATGCGATACAATATGTGTCAAATAGTGTGGTAAATATTTTTTTGTATTCTATGGTTTACATTCTAGTTTTACGGTTTTAGTGGCTTCTCAATACCTCAAACTCCTTTATGTACACTTCAGTGTATTTTAATGTACAATGGCTTTGTCATCTTTTTATTGACATATCCGTTTGAAGTCCCCAATGTATGGAAAATGAGGCTATAAACGTTGTAAATCAAGGCGCCGTAATCACTATTCTTGGTGTATTTTATGAATAGACTTTAGACACTTTTCATGTAAAATAAAAACATAAAAACATTTGAAGTCACGATTGTACAGCAAGTGAGACTTTAATAAACACTGTCTCCTTACGAAACGATTCCACTCATTATTACAGCGAAATGTCTAACGTTTGTGCGAGATTTCATGGCGCTTTAACAGGGAAAAGAGTTTACTTTTGACGTCAAACCAACATAGAAACACAGTGACCTTGTATTCCCAGTTACTTTTAGCTTTTTAGTTTACTGTTAACTTTTGGACTTTTAACAGAGCAGTTACACATAGAGTACGGCTCTTTACATACTGCAGCAGTACCTGATTTCTTACAATATGAAGTTGAAAGTATACATAGTGGAAAGTGAATTGACAAATATACATCATATGATATACCCTACCTTGTTTTGGAACATCAACCTGGCTTCGTCACGGCGGCTAAGCAGTCTATCCTGTTCATGAGATCCTGCGCTATATATACGTTAAAAGTAGGTTCGCCAACAGATGTGCATATAATCGAAACTTCTCATTTGTTTAGCTTGAATTTGAGTGACGTGCGAAGAAGATGGGAGCCAGTCGATTTTTGAAGGGGCTGTTCAATTTTGACTCGTAAACAACTGCCAGGGAATGTTACCACATCTATACTGCCCCAGTTGTGTGAAGGTGATGCAGGATTATGACTAAAAGGAACATCAGAAAGAAACAGAAAGTACAGTTAGTACGATTTACGCTAACACGAATTTATGTGACAGCCCTGACACCTCTGATACCCGGCCCCCGAACGAGACACTACATCTGATAAGATGAGCGGGGGAGACTGTTACCCTTATTTAGCAGTCTTTAGCATCCTTGTATAGCTCGTGGGATACTATCCCAGTCGCCCCAGGCTGTTGAAAACTCGTCGAATGCTTTGTCACAAGAAAAATACGCACATCTGCTGTCTGTGTGGAGTAATCAGATCATCAAACTGTCCCTACTAGATAATACTATGTCAGTCATTCTCTCTGTACTCTCTCTTTGACCACCTGACTCATGCAAAAGCGCCTATGAGCAGATCCAATCTAGAAATTGGCGTGATATAAATTTTTATCATATAATGGGAAGGTTCATTGGCAAGATAAAGCCAACGGATAAAAACGATATCAGTTGGGGTCATATGCAGATAGAGATACAAATATCAAAGATCAAGTAGGGACTACTTTCAGTGCTTATATACAAACACGGCGTCGCCCTTGTCATTCGGCAATCGAGTCAGAATTAACCATCGGGAATCTGGATAAACTACAGAGATAATTGCTATCATTATCAAAAAAACAGTCTAATATACTTAAAATCAGTGTCTAGCTGTGACGTAGCTAAGGCATTTTATAAGTTTGGGCAACTTTGGAGATATAAATTTTGAAACAATGTTGCGAGGGCACTAGGCCTAGCCAAGCGGGACCAGTAGCCATATCTGTGCTTGTAGACCTCTGCGGCTTGAAACCTTTCCCACAAATTAAAATATACTGAGTCAAATTAAAATATTCACATTTTTAAAAGTAATCCCAAGCACGAGAATCTGATGGTACACAAGTTCAGTAGCGTATATGGCCACCATGTGCGTTGACAACTGCCACACAACGCCTCCGCATGGACCTTGTGATGCTTGTGAACACATGATTGGGAAGACAACGCCATTGTTGCTGCAAAATGGTGCCACGATCTTGCAAATTCTGTGGTTGGTTCTGGAGACTGCGCAGACTTCTGCCAAGAGCATCCCATACGTGTTCGGTGGGATTGAGGTCGAGAGACCTTGACGGCCAGTCCATGACGTTGACTCCCGCATTCTGAGGTGAGGTGAAATGGGGTTTAACGTCGCGTCCAAGATCATTGCACTTATATAGCGATCCCCGCATTCTGAAGGAAATTCCTTGTCAAAATTGCCGTTCACGTAGCACATTTGAAAGGCGCGGCATGACAAATGACCATAAAGACTTTTGTTTTCTTGTATGTTTCTTTTTTTGTTAATAACTGCGAACAAGTATAGCTGCAAACCACTTTTGCCACTATAATGCTGTGCACATGATTTTGATCGATTCACCTGCACAAAAACGGGTGTTATCTGAAGACAATACGTGGCCATTACTGTTTAAATACACAATAAGGCCCCACAATGATAACTGGTCAAAATGTTAAAAGTTTAGGATTGTGAAGTTTTTAATTTGGTTCAGTATATATCCTGGTCCTCCGAATTTTACCTGATTTCTGCATGTAATAGATGTCTATTTGCTACAACATTTCTAAGCAGCTTATCCCGTGCTGTTAGATTGGCCTTACAAACATCAGCATTTAAATCACCCAAGATAAAAACTGTTCCTAATTCACACAGATTATCATATATATCAATCAGTTAATCAAGGGTATTACGGTATACAGAGTTTAACACATTTGTAGATGGTAGTCGACTGGCTATTACATCAACATCACAGTAGCCTGTTTGTGACAATTTAACACTTATTGCATAATCCGAGCTTATAGCTATTGGAATAGCTTTCCACTTGGTGTGTGGTCAACAGAAATAGTACAAGTGCAATAGACAGGCAAAGAACACTAATTCATTTAGGATAGTTTTATTTTAGTTTCCAGTAACAATTACAGACAACAATTACTATTGTACTTCAATTCACATTTACAAAGTTTCTGAATTCCCAAATTTCTATTATGGCCACGATTACCAAATGACTCGCGTGTCGAACGATGTTGCCTATCCTAACTCTTAAGCCAAACTGAATAACAACGACACATGGTGGTCGACACCTGGCGCACATGCATGCTTTTTTTTTGCTTTTAGATATGAATCCACGAAGTAAAGCAGTGTGTGCGCGAACTGTTTTCACACACAGGAACGAAACAGAACTACCTGTTCGGAAACACAACATACTCACAGCAATACAATCTGTGATGACAATATCCGTATGTCCAGTGTGGGTATAAGATAAGTTAGCTAACCCATCTGACCCTCTTGCATAACTCGCATTTGGGGGTAAAGCTCTGTATGTGATTAAATTTAGGTTTTGAAATGATCTTAAACAGTCTACTTTATCAGACGATAGCCAGTGCTCTTGTAAGGCAACTAGGTCAACTGTCTTTGATAAGGTGTTACAAATATAATCTGTACCATGGAGGACCCCACGTACATTCCATGTTAATAAGGACAGAGTCATTTGAACAAATGTGAATAGAGACAAGAGATTAAGCAGTCTAAATATAATATCACAACTTCTAATATGTGTATGAGTCAGTCTGGTCATAGCCCATTCTGTGTTTAGGTACATAGTCTCTACTTCTGATGTCAGGGGGACAAAAATCTGACTTACCAGCCACGTTATTATCATAGTCATCAAAGACCATGTTAACTTGCACAGTATACGTATCCTGATGGTTATAGTTCATTCTCTTCTTCATGAGTCGCGCAAATGTCACGCGAACATGTTTGTCCTTGGCATAGTTGTATATCAGATCTTTCACAGTCTCAAAAGGTTCATCTGCTCTAATGTTATATAGCACAATCCGTTTGGTACGCATTCTTGGTACACCTTCAAGAGTTCAATAGGTTTTAGCTAATGATTTAGTTGGATAGGATTCATATCCAGCTTGTTTACTTCCAGATTCACGTGCATCATTGTCTTTGCTTCGTTGTCTTCGTCTCACAGAGTTCCAGGAATCATTATCACTGTGTTCACCAGTATAAGTAAAGTCGTACAGATAGTTTTTATTGGTGAGATCAAGGCAGTTGTCACCTGCATTGGGGTCCGGTAAAGTTTCTCTGGTTCTTGGTCCAGGTTCAGCTTGCATCCCATGCATCTCAATCGGTTGGACTTCATTTATTGTGGAAATGGTTCCATTTGATTTCGGTCTATTAGGGGTATTTGAAGTATTCAGTTTAGACGCCATATTGCTGACCTTCGTTTCTATGAACTTAAGTTTACTATCAATTGAGTAGTTCATGTGTAATACTTTGCTTTCAGTTCATGGATATGGTCCCGGAAGCATTTGTTTTCCTGACTACTAATTTTAAGTTCAGCTCTGAGTTCTGCTGGTCGATTTTCTGATTCATTTAGTCTATCTTTTAACTCATTCACCTGTACTTCCTTCTCATAGATAGTGTTTTTCAATGTCAAAACTTCATCTTCAAACTTCTGCTCCAGTTTCTTAATCCTGTTGTCTATTGCATCATTCCCTTGGTTTTCCACTGTTTAAGTTAGATCACATGACTTAAAATCAAGGGCAACCAGTCACTTTCACTGTGTGTGATGCTTTCCTCCACTGCATTGCCGTCTCCGTCGTCTCCTCCATGGCTGTATTCGTCACCGAGAATCGAATGGTTACCAACAGATTTGATACTTTCCCGGCTGAGCACTTTCGTCTGTAAAACGTGATCTTGTATTCCTTCCTCCACATATTGGAATATATAACACACATCTTGTGCGTATTTGTTGAGAATAGATTGCTTGTTGTTTTTATATCGTCGTGATACAAGTCTTCCAGCAGGAAATTCGTCACAAGAAGCCTTAGCATACTCATACACACTTACACGAATGTGGTTAGGTTCCTTGGGGTCACTGTTGTAGATACTAATCGGCCTTGTTGAAAAGAGTCCTTGTCTTTGTGTCCAAGCTTGAGCTTGAGTTCTTCATATATTGCTTTGTCCTGGCTGTCGCTGGGTTGAGTATTATACAACAAGTCCTCCTCTCCCCTGTCACTCATTGTTGTTCAATCAAGATATAAGCCTAGGTACACCGGCTAGGTCTTTTCAAGTTTACACATTATACAGTTTGTGTGAAGGGTTTGGGTTTTAAGTACAAAATTTGTAATGTCATGTTTTCAACAAAAGGCTTGAAATAATGATAGAAAATCTTCTTACAAACTCGATGTTTGTTTTGAGGTTTTCTACATTTCTGTAAAGTTTGTTAAAATTCACTTTTTGTAACAGGCCATCCACACTTTAGCGCATGCGTAGTAATGTTGTTACCCTAATAAAGGAGAGTAGACAAAATAATTTACGGATAATAACCTCTTTAAATGAGATATCAACATAATGTACAGCTTCTTTAGGATGATGATGATGATGATGATGATGATGATGATGATGATGATGAAAGGTACAGGCTTAAACAATATGTACCCATGTTTTAATAATGATGACTCCCTGAATAGAGTCCGACTTCGGCAATGTGGGACAAGTCCATTTTATTCAGGGGTGCATATTATTTACTGATGTACAGTGAACTCATGCAATATCACTACTCAAGTTGCTGCCCTGGGCAGTGGGCCCATTCTCTCTTCTATCCACGACCAGGATAGGTTGCTGGGGATATACAGTCAAGTCCCGTTAATCCGACTAGTTGGTTGCATATGATTCTGTAGGATTAGCGAGTATGTTATATAATACTTACTTACTTATATTTGAGATTTTACGTGCGCTTTCCGGTTGGGGAAAAGGGAAAGAGGAATTGGTGGTGCAACCCAGGAGGGGGATTTAAGGGCTGCTTATACAGTAATTTTTAGATTTTTAGATTTTGAATAAATGCCAAGAGTGGTTGGGGGCGAACTAAGGGAGCTGTGTGTGGTAGGATGTTTTGTTTACGTGATTTGGATTTGTAAGTTTATTTGGGTTTAAATGCGATTAATTAGTCCTGTTTTGATTAAGTATATGCCTAAGGATTTTTAAAAAAAAATCTATTTTATTTTTTGGGTTTAGGAGTACTTCTTGGGTAGGGCCGAATTTAGATTTAGGGTGGTTTGTAGTGTGGTTCGGTGTGTTTGGTAGTGGGTGCAGTGAATGAGTATGTGTTCTTGGGTTTCTTGTTGGTTGCAATGTGAGCAGGTTCCTGTTGCGTGTTTTAAATTTTTTAAGGTGGTTATTTAGTTTGGTGTGGCCTGTCTGTAGTTTAGTGATTATTCTGTCGATTTTTTTGGATGGGTGTAGAATTTTTGGTTTAGTTAGGTTTTTTTTAAGAACTTTTCTGATTTGGCTATTTGAGTTTAGGTATATATTTTGCCATTTTTTGGTGATTTTTTGTTTCGTGACAATTTTTATTTCTGATTTTGAATTTAAGCTTATTACTGGGATTTTAAGGGATGATTTTGCCGCTTTATCGGCGTTTTCATTGCCGTAGATTCCTACGTGGGCGGAGATCCAAATAAATTCTATTTGTTTGCCTGCCTTAGTTATATTATAAGTCGTTTGAGCTTTTAAGTATTTGATTTATTAGTTAAGGGCGTTTTTTTGTGGGGTTTTTTTGGAGGGCGTGCAGTCCACTGATGAAGTTGGTAAGGATAAGGATTTTTGGGTTTTTTTTAGATTCCTGAATGCTGATGATGAAGGGCTGAGGCCATGCCCATTAGTTCGGCCGTGAATATTGATTGGTTGTTTGGGAGTCGGTAGGATTGTGTGCTTTTGGTTGGTTGTGTGATGTGGACTCCGAAACCTGTGTGTTTGGAGATCAGATCTGAAGATCCGTCTGTGTATATGTGACACCAATTTGGCCAATGTTTGTGTATGTATGCTAGTGTGGTGGTTTTAGCGATGTTTTGGGTCAGTCTGTTTATTTATTTCATTGGCTGGTGTTGTGTCTATCTTGGATATTCTAAGTTTTGGGGTGAAGATATTTGATTGTTTAATGTTTTGTTTAAGATTATGTATTTTGTGTTCTTTTAGGTATTTGATTATTCTTTGGGATATTGGAGTAAGTAAGTTGTTCCCTACGTAGATTTAGTGGCATTTCTCCTGTTAAGGCCTGGAGTGATGTGTTGGAGGTGCCATGTTGAGTTCGTGTAATTAGTTTTAGAGCCTGATATTGGATTGAGTCTAGTTTTTTTTATTTAGAGAATTGTATATGGCACAGCCGTAGTCTAGTTTTGATCTAATTAGTGATATATAGAGTTTGAGGAGGGTATCTTTGGAGGCTCCCCAGTTTGAGCCAGTTAGACATCTAAGCGTATTGAGATCTTTGCTGCATTTGGTTATAAGGCTTTTAATGTGTGCATCCCAGGTGAGATGTTCGTGGAAAATTAGTCCTAACAATTTGGTTTATTTTTTAAATTTGATTGGTTTGTTGTTTACTTGGAGGTTTGGGGAGCCGGGTTTCATGTTTTTGTGCTTAAAAACTATTCCTGTTGTTTTTATCGAGTTAAGGGAGAAGCCCATGGCTGTATTTTATTTAGAGATTTTTTAAGTAAGTTTGGGGCCATTTTAATGCTTTTAGTGCGGATCCAGAGGGCTCCATCATCCGCGAACTTTGAAGTGTTTACTTTGGGGGATAGTCCTTCGAAAAGGTCGTTAATCATAATATTGAAGAGTGTGGGGCTTAGGATGCTGCCCTGGGGAGTACCATTTTCTAGGGGACATTGGTCTGGTCTATGCCCACGGTTATTTTACGATTAGTTGGGAAGTCCAGGGTGTAATGGATAATTTGACCTTTGAGTCCTATTTTTTGTACTGTTTTTGTATTAGCCCGTTGTGCTAAACCATGTCGAATGCTTTGGAGAAGTCTAGAAAGATGCCTGTTGTATATTGTTTCTTAAGTTGGCCTGTTTTAATGTCCTGCTCTAGTCGAGCGAGGTTATCTAGGGTTGAGCAGACAGGAGTAAAACAGCTTTGATCTGGTTATATTATGTTAATTAGGAGATACACATACTGTATTTTCAATGTAGAGCGTAGTGCATGCAGGTGTGTGTATGTGGCTGCTTGTACTAGTCCGGACTGATGCCGATTTATAGTGCTAGCCCACTGAGATACCATGCCGCAGTTTAACATGAATACCCCACTCAGACACAGTATACTGACTCCGAGCCGACCAGTCCTTGTTTTAGCCCCTTAATGCCGAGCGCCAGACAGGGTAACAACAAGTACCATCTTTTAACGTCTTTTGGTATGACGCGGCCGGGGATCGAACCCCGGACCTTCCGCTCTCCGGGCGGACGCTCTACACAAGACCAAATAGCGTCCATTCCAATTTGGAATGATCGTTGGATTTCTTTGGAAAGATCGCTCATTCCAACATTTCCAAAGCTTGGAAAGATCGATCTTTCCAAAAAATCCAAAATTGGAATGGCAACATTTCCAAGCATATTTCCAAAATTGGAAATGTTTGGAATGGCTTGGAATGGTTTGGAATGGTTTGGAAATATGGTTAGAAGGAAAAAGTTAAAATATGTTTTATCAGTAATTTGGACAATAACAACAGTTATTTATTGAGTTTAAACTATATAATAATATATTTATCTCAAACATTCACTACTTGTCTGTGTAGCGAGGGGCTTTTACAGTCTCAGTCCCTAAGGTGGGAGAGAGACCCGCACTTGACTCGACAAGACCCTAATAGGTCTCAAGATTAAGTATTCGGCTGGATGGCAGCTGCCATTTAATGACAAAACAGACGGTCGTCTAGACGGCTCACATGTAAGTGCGCCGACATGTGCCTAAGATCATAGAATGGACAATCTTTAGTAACATCTAATTGATTGTTGTCTCAGGCCAGAGCTGTGAATAATTCTGTTCATTGAACAATTGGAATTCAGGAAGTTATCAATAATTGTTTTATTTAACATGTTTACGACATAATATTATGACATCAGGACGTACTACAGACAGAACCATATATTTTAAAATCAGTTTGCAATCAGTTTAAACTCTTTAACCGCGGGAAACGAACACTGAATTATTTATGAATGCTTCAATAGAATACAAAACATGTTTTTGTTATCCTTATTACAAACAAAAAATAATAATTCCAAACCGACAGATTTCAGATAACCTGAAATTACGCTTCGTGAACAAGTCGGGCGTCCTTATAGACGTGTATTTATGTCATATAATGAGAGACTATGATTTCCAAGTCCCGATTATCATGTCAATGATATATCAGTTTTACCACATGTGCACAGACCGCCTATACTTTTGCATAACTATTCTCAACTGAAAGTCCTATCCTCTTATCAAATATTCTGTGAGAGTAATCATCATTAATATAAGAAAACTCATTCTCATCAAAGAATACAGAACAAATGACTCAGATGCATACATTTATTACCATGCTTCATTCATCACGAAGCAGATTTACATAATTTGTGAACAGCCCTTGAACTGTGATTATGAATTTTACCATTGTCCATATTAACATAATAATATATACATATATACAAAACAGGTCAAGTTTGGAATTTTGAAATATGCCATAAAAGGTAGAAGGAGGGGGGGGGGGGAGGGGGGGGGGGGGGATTCCGTCAAACAACTGTCAAACCATTTATTGCCATGTACGTACTTGCACACAGGGAAGTCAGCGCTGTCTGGGGCTCCAGGTAAATAAACATCGTGGTTTTATGACGGGAGATCAGACGAACCGTGAACCAGAGGCATGCGACGTAATTACACCAGGGTATTGTCTCTTGAACTGGCTAATTGACTTCATATAATTGGTAAATATATTCGTTTTGACGACCGTGATTCATGCGCATCCCGGCTCATTAAGTGGGCTCCAGGCCATAAAAACAAAACCACAAAAAACGCCCCAAACTAATACAACAGATAAAAGCGCCAACAATCTACGTAAACTAGGTAAAGACATAGAAATAGTTTGGATCCCTGCCCACGTTGGGGTGTTTGGCAACGAACATGTAGACAAAGCAGCCAAATCAGCACTAAAATTAGAAGAAGTAAGCATCCCAAGCATCAACCTACCAAAATAAAAAAAAAGAAGTTAAAAGTATCTCAAAGGAAAATAGCGGCAAAATAACAATCAGAAATATGATTGCAAACTAAAACGCCACTCAAAAAAACATATCCATCATAAAACCAAAAACATTGACAGAGTAATAACCAAACTACAAACAGGCCACACTAAGTTAAGCTCTCACCTACACCTAATTAAAAAAACCACCAAACCGGTAAATACCCCCACTGCAACTTAAAAAGAAACGCCCGAACACGTATTATTCCCGTGTGACATTTACATTTAGAGCGCCCTATTCAATACTTTATGGAACACATTACCAGCAACACAGACCAAACAACACTCCAATCCTCACTAAATTGCAACAATCACATGACTGTACTGAACCCCCTACATGACTTTAAACCTTTGAAGCACTAAGCATATATCTAATCAAACCAGGCCTACTTGGCCGCATTTAAAAAAAAGGACAAAAAACAAGCTGCCAATAAACCCTAAAATTCCTAACCTATAAAAACACCCCTTTTAGTAAGTAAGTAAGCATGTTCTGATGAGGATATGAATGATGATGATTCTAAACTACTCCATGGTATGTCAGTGCTGAGCTGACCCAGCTGTCTTCTTTCTGCAACCAGGCAGGAGGTGGTGCAAATGACGAGACACCTGTAATTCGTCTCGTCCGTGGTACGATGGACGCTGCTGTCTTGGTTGTTTTACTAAATGTCTCGTCGGCCACTTTTTTAGCGGCCCTCATTTCATGACTCTCCCAGTCCCTCCTTCTCACATTGAAGACCCGGTTGCCATCCTCGTCGACCGAACTCTCTTCTGACGACATGAGCTGCGTTTTTTTCATTACTCGAATGTACTTGGTCCTTGTGTGATGAGGTAGTTCGGATTTTTCAATGCCAGTTACACGGTTTCTGCTTTTCTGAAAGCAAAACCGTTCACTTTATAACACCCACCTTTCTTAAACACGAAATAAAACGAAGACAAAACAGAAATGTGCCCATTACTTCAGTAGAATAGTTTGTCCTGAGCATGTTGTGTTTAGAGTCACTATAAATCGAAATTCTGTAAGTGGGAAGAAATACATATCTAAATCTATAAAAAGAAGTCTACAGATAATCTTCAAGTTTCAGTAACATTAACTTACAACTCATAGTACATATTATTTGCAGTTGAACTCCTAAAGTAAAACTCACTGCGTACAAGCAGGAGTTATTTAAGACGTTTTAATGCAGGAATAACAAACATGAAACATTTTATTCTCATTTCAGAGAAGCAATTGCAGCAACTATAGTTATACGCATCGTTACATTCCTAACTATCTATCTGGTACTTGGTGTGAATATTAGTCACTCCCCACAGAGTATGAAACATGAAACATTTCGTAGTATAGATAAATATACTACCAAAAGACATGTTACAACAATGATCTGAAGGTATGATTGGATTTATATACGTTTTAAAATGACACGACATTTCTAACAACATTGGAACATATCGCAAGTAAGGGAGATATGTCAGTTACGATTCCGATATTCTGGTTTTGTTTATCAGAACAATTTAAGAAAAATCTCTGTGGAATGGCTGGGCAGCTGAGTGGTGATCTGCTCGAGGCTAATTTGTGTCGATTTAACATGTTTGACAACGAAAGTCCGGATCGATAGTAATGTAACTCATCAATATAGAATATTTGGTAACGGAAAGAATTGGATAGTACATAGTACATTTAGATAAGAACGTAGTGAAATAAATGGCTACAAATTTGATAGATTTGCTCCTCATAATTTATCTTCTAGTTGTGGTTACTTTCATCAGGGTAATGTTCATTATCTGTTTCAGTACCCAAGGTACAGTCCTCTGAGATGCAATAGTAAATTATGTGGAAGGAATTTGTCTGGAGGGAACTTCATATAGGCATTGTCTGTTGGCCTTCTTTATTTGAGATAAACCATTCTTTAAATCATTAAAAACAAATGCTTCCTAATTTATCATATTCTGAGAGTTTCTGTAATTGTATTTGTGGCATATCTACCTCTAACCAATTTTCTATGTGCATATACATGCGGCCGCGGGTGACAGATTTATTAGGGTCATTGGGTGACGCTCAGGGTTTCTATAAAGGTAGAAAGATGGCGTTATGTACCTTTTTTATGGCAGAAAGTGTTATTTGTGTAACATTAGTTATTTAGGAAATGATTTCAACTGTTTGAATATATTGACAACACATTTACATTGAGGGTGCAATGTAAATTCGTCAAGTAACATTTAAAAGAAACTATTAATTTCTTGCAACGACAATAATAACTACCAAGAAATGGTAAGATTTAAACCTTACCTAACAACGTTTATACAATTCAATATTACTGAGACCGGGCAAAACCCTGCTGTTAAAAGAGAAATTCATACGCATATAATAGCAAGCCAATGATTTTTTAAATTTTGTTGCTAAATCGTATTGCTCAACACAAAATAGTATTGAGGACAACAGGCAACCTTGCCTTACTAGGCTTGGTAATGGAAACATATCCGTCGGATGGGCATTAATGGATACACATGACCTATTATTTCATATATTGACAACTGCTCAAAAATCCGTTTCAGTAATACCTAATTTTAACAACAGAACAGTCACGGTTTACTTTATAAAATGTTTCGAGGCGTGATGTTGACAAACAAAAAGTAGTACGCCTCATAATATCCTTTGATCAATGACCGCTTAAAATGTATGCAGGTTCAGTCGTTTTACTCTTCTGTATATGAATTGATTCAAGCCAGGTAAATAGGAAATTCAATAAGTCAGAGCAAAGTTATACATGGAATATCAAAGATATCCCGAGGTGATTAGCGACACACCTCTTAATAAGTATTATGATGAGTTTATTTCACAGGTTAAAATACTGTGAAAGACTTAAAAAACGATATTATATATATTGACTGGATTCTATTATCTACTAATGTGCAAAACCACAAGCCCTAACCACTGACGTCAGTACCGGCAAAGCACTCGGGAGCATCGCTTGGAATCTTCTTCTTCTTATTATTTTCTAAACACGTTGTATGATGATATTGCATTTACATGAATTCATTTGCCAATGTCCTAGTTGACTCTCCGATGCATATGTGCATCAATGGACGCCCAAAATATTATTTCGAAGCTGTTATGCGAATACATGGAAGAATACCGGCAGAGATGTGCCCCACTTTTACTCTTATGTAGAAGACGAGCGAGTGGTAGCTAGACTGGCAAAAAGCTCTTGTAAAATATATACTTTCATATTAAAGGTTAAAAAAAAATCTCTTTCGCGCCTGTGGTTTATTACACCTCCACAAATGTTTTCTGAACAGTGATTGAAATTATAAACAAGTTACACAAGTCGTGTGTGTTGTCCCAGTCATTAGAAGACTGACTAAAATAGCTGAGCTACGCGTGTGTCGACTCTGGCGTTAACTAACAAGACAGAGACTGGGGGATAATAGAAATAGTCTGTCACGTAACACATTGAATATATACAGGTGTCGGGTGATGGTCGTGCCACTGTTCATAACAACATTTTCTCAGCACTAATTACAATGATATAATGACAAAGCAATATATTGACATGTTACAAAGGTGGGCATTATAGACAAGCTAATCAATGCTAGTCAAGTGATCACGGTTTGTTAACTCACGTTGATTGGACAGTCTAGACAACACATGACGGCCTTTCCGTCTTAGAATTGTAGTGTATACTTGTAAAATTACCTGGGGCACTATGTATATATATACACTCATAATATAAACAACAGAAAATTACCCGGGGTGTAAACTATATAAGGGTAAATAGGTAAATATTAAAAGCAGGCAATTTACCAATTTTTATACACCCCGGTTGTCCTAATAAAATTCTCTATTCTAATCTATCCTGCTGTTAATTCTGCAAAAAACATATGTATTCCAAATTCCACCTCTCCCTATAACCTTACTCCACTGGGCACCTTTTAATTATATATTAATAAGGCGCCACTCACCTCATTCTAAATTTCTCTTTTTTTTAACTCGGCGGCCATGGCCAACAGGCCTATATAAAGTCACACCTCAAACACTTCCAACAATTGGCCTTACTTTGCCCAAGTTAAGCTTCACTCAAAATTCATCTTCAATAATCCAAATTTTATATCCTAAGGGGGTATTTAATCCCTCCAGCAACACAAATCTTTCAACTTACCGTCAGTTTCCTTGAATTCTTTCTGGACGCGTCCGTGTGTTCTTTCTCTTTTCCGTTACGTGTTCGGGATAGCTTCTCTTTCTTCGTTAACATGATCCTGGTCATACCATCTGGAACATAATGTTTCTTTCCTTATTTGGATGTGAACTGCAACATACCGGTCTTTTTTCCATATCTTCAAATAGTGTACAGCAAGTCTTTAACCATTAGTTTACCTGTGAATGCTGCATATAATTCTTTCCTGACAGACTAATGGGAATGTTACGCATCATAGATAAGTCATTTCAAAACAATGAAAAAAGGTTTAAATCTTTCCACTAGTAGGCATGTGTACCTTTGCATTGACTTATGGAATTGAAATGTTTTAAAAATGTACATGACGGACACATGCATTTGAAATACACTTAAATGATAAAAATACCTTTAAATTCCTGTTTTGTCATGCTTGGAGCTATCACCTTAGAAAAGTCCCAGATGTATTTGACAACTTGTCGATTCTGTGCGGACTCCAACCTGCAACAAATGTTTTACTTTTATTATATGACCAGAAATATACATATGCCAATAACTATTACATATAATCTTCTTTAACGACTTCAGCATGAACTTATTAACTTATTTTGAAGTAACTAAAAGAAGCAAGATTATTAGGTATAATTTCACTGCATAATTAAGACATATTCGTTTAGATTTGAGATATATTGGTGGTACAGTTTTCTGGTACAAAAATAACAAAAAGATATATATTTATGTGACTGTCTCATATAATTTCCCATTACAAAGATTCCTAAGACTTTATTTATGACTATTTTCTACTGAAACGGGATTCATGGAAGAGAAGTAATCGTGGTGGTATTAAGAAAATATTATTTTTGCCAAAATTGCGTAACAGTCTTTTTCGGATGTACCTCCAATTTTATCAGAAAAACTTGAGGCACACAAAACTTTGCGACTCGTTCATTGATTATGGAGGTAAAATGAACACTAAAAATGCGATAAGATTTTAAAACAAGCCTATCTATTCATCTGAATAAAAAGTACTGTAATAAAAGTATAAGTGAAACAAAGATAAATTACATATGACTTTTGATAGTTTTGATTAACTTTTATCAGCGACAAACCTATAGGGGTTTAAAAAGAGATAAATAATTATATAGGTTACATACTCGGTCTCACAGACGCAAAGATACACATATCAACAGAAATAGTGCTTACAATGCCACAGCGTTTTCCTGGTGTAAGTCGACTCCAAACAAATGGTTGTCAAGTATGGTAAAAATGATATTTTCGAATTATTTAAATGATTGTAACAGAATGAACATATCGTCCTTTCCAAAATGATCACTGCACACTACGATACTTACGTGAACATAGGCTCCATAGTCCACCCTTTCTCAGTTTCAGCATGGTCGATCGCTGCCTTCAATGCTGCCTAAGGAAGAAAATTGATAAAATATAGTTAACAGACAATAGAAAGAATCAATATTGGTGATTTTATCTGTGAGATAAATCTATCGAAACTTGATATTGTCTTATGAGAAACGCATCGATTACTGTAAATCGTGAAATTAATGCGATTGCTGAACCCAAGCTATTTAAAATAGATACACCTGGCCATTTAAAAAAAATTAAAAAATTACAATAAAATACAGTTGCATCCCACATCCACCTCTGTGGACACACCACAACATACCTACCTCACTCAGATACCTCCATGCACAAATTTACGTAACGTTCACACACATACACTCAAGACATAATTACTTTCATACTTGCATACCGGGGTACATACGAAACTCATACGCATTTACCATTCTGGACACAAACACAACGTTCACGCATACAAACACTTTCTCATCCAAACACACTCATCCAACATACAAAAACACTCTATGCTCCATGTCTACAATATACCGTACCACAACAGTAACAGGTCCATGCGTTGGTTTACAACTTGATTGTTTACAACTTGATTGTAAACAAAGTGGTGTTTTATCATTACACTAGTGCAATCTCCCCCATGCCAAATATTATTTTAGATAAAGAAAGTGAATGCTTTCAAGCCGAAAGTATCTGAATTGAACCTTAATCCGCTTATTAGTGCCGAGTACATCGGGAAAACAATCGTTATGGTGTTTTTCTTCCCAATAACAACACATAGTTTATGTTGATTGCCCTCGTTTAACGAGCTGTATAATCTCGGTCGCTAAACACGGTTTTCCACATATCCGCCGTTTTGATGTTTTGCTGGGATCTTACCCTTATGTTTGTACTGACTTTGCTGGATTTGGTAGAAGTTTGTGTTGGTTCCTGGACCCTGTTGTCCAAACGTGTAACTTTTGCAGTTAGGGCGGTAACCTGGAAATACAAATATAGTGAAAATTGACGGTGAAACGTATCATGGTATGCCCTACTAGTTCACTTACTGTTATATCGCATGATCCAACACTGGCTGGATGCAATTTTTAAAATCAATGTTTCCTTGTAATGACACGTAAATATATATTTAACTATAATTTTCCCCTTGAAACACGATAAATCATATCGAGAATGCATTTTAAACTGAATACAGTGTTGACTATCATCACTTACCTGTGTATTCTTTTCAGTAAGTTTGCTCTTGAGGTCTCTAACCTCGCTGTTTAAGTTTCCAATTTCCTTTTTAAGGTCGCCGACTTCGCCCTTCAAATCTGTAATGGCCCTGTGAAGTCGTCCTTCCATGACCCTCATGAGTTGGAGAAATTCCGCATAGGGGATTGACTTTCCTGTAATTAAGAGAAACATTAAATACTTACATAGCACCTGGATGACCGTTTTACGTTCTGGGAAAAATTCAAGTGCAACCTTCTCCAAAATATGCACTCAAATATCAAATTCAAAATATATTCGAGCCAAACAGAACTACCCCTCCTTGATATTCTTATTAAAAAGAGTAAGCTAATTTTGCCATCAACTGCAATCTGAAGTGTTATAAGCACTAGGTTGCAGTCATTTGAAATCCCGCTGGAATATAAGACAAGCCTCAGCGGCAAACATAAAAAGGATAGTTACATTAAATGATCTTGTTGCTGGTCGAATGTAATTGGTGTTGACGAATGAGTGTTTGAATATCATTAGCTAGGGCATTTTAATGTCGATTAAGCAATCCTTATCAATAATGGAGATGTTCCTCCTGTGTCATTCCGCGTATCTTGTGGCAGCTAAAGATGTGCCAAAATCATATAAATGTATGATTATTCATATAATGCGAAAAATCATTTCATACGTTGTGTGACATACCTTGTCTCATACGAGGAGTCTCAGCTTGAATTGCAGCTTGTTTCTCTGAAACATTAATTTGTTTATCAGATGCCGTATGAGTGCTATTTTCTAAGCAAATTGCAGACACATCGATGCACTACATACCATTGATCGCCGATGGATACGGATTTCATTTATCTTTATGAATATCCATTTAGATGTTGAAAATAACTGCGTGTCTAAGCATACCTACGATAATCTCTGATTGAAATGAAAGCAAATTACATGTTAAACTGCACGAATGTGACAAGAAAATTCATGAACCTGCTCATAGAATTGTGTTTGATGAAAATACATACTACAGCTTGAGGCTCTTCTCAGTAAGTCCTGACCGTCATCTTCTCCATCTGCATAGAAAAGTACAATTTAAGAAATGGGCTTGGGTTGATGAAAATATATGAATCAGTTATCTTGAACGTGCTTTATTGCTCGAACATAATAGTTTTTAGACTGCATACATTTGCAAAGTTTATATACATTTTGCCATGCACAATAATTTACAGTTCATGTTTTTCTTTGATGATTGAGCCCTGGACATTTAAAAAGGTAAAGAAATTCATCTGCGACTGCAGGCGAGTCACAAACGTTATACTTTTTTTGCTTCACGTGGACTGCTAAAGCTAACGGTCAGTCCTACTTGTCGTAATTACAGACAGATATTTTATTACAGTCTCACCTCATATTTACAATATAAAATCTATTTAAAACAATTATGTATGAACAACCCATTACAGGTTATGAGAGACACTTTCTGCAATCACAGACACATTTCAACAGTTCAACCTGGCCACTAATTAGGAACCATTATTGTAAAGTTCGGTAAGAAATACCTGAAAAGTCGTAAACTCTTGTCATAGGTGTAGATGAGGCAACTGGACCGCTTCCTAATCTATTCTTTTTTCCATTTTCTTCCCTTTGTCTCAAGATTTTGTTCTTGCGCTTGACTGGACTCTACGATGAGACCAAATACAAAATTAAAATGTTTCCACAATATGGTTATGCGGTAAAACTTGAATTCGTCAAACACTTGTTTTCGACACTAGCAGCAGATGATGTAAACGGGTGATATAAGTGTTAACACATTTAGTAAAACAATCCCTGACAATATGAATATTACATATATAACTGACAGATTTATAACAGATAGTGCACAATGTTCAAGTTTATAATATATTACAACACCGATTTCATTAACATTACTGAAATCAGACCACTTTGACAATGAAATCGTTAATTAATTCAAGAAAGGTATAGACTGGCAGAAACTGAAGCAAAGCGATAGTGGCATGTAGAGCTATGTCTCGTCAGGCCAATGAGGCCGCGTGATCTAAGGAGCGTGAACAACATGGATGCCGCGTTTCGGCCGTACCGAACAGTCAGGCTGCGATCTCGGAGCTGCTCGTCCGATTGAAACCAATTGCAAGCGGAGACAAAATTATCTCCCTTACCCAAACATGATCGTTGCTCAAATCTATCTTGAGTAAATCATGAAATTAATGCGAGCATGACATGTATGCGAAAAATGCGACCGTCATTCCCTCTGATTATTTTTTTATGTTTCATTTCATCATGATAAAACAGTTAGTCACTTATAAGGTTACCAGGTTGAACATAAAAACGATCGTTAACAAAAACGACCAAATTTATTCTCTCATCACTCAGCCTAACAGTGATATAGCTGCACATAAAACGTTCAAGTGCGCTAAAGTATTACACATGGTGGGTGGAGGACCAGGGGCACTTTGAGTTTGACAGGTGCCATCAACTGGTCAAGTAACATCACGGTTTGTATATTCACGTTGATTGGACAGTCTAGGCTGGCGCCAACTAATCATGACGGCGTCTTCAGAACAGAACAGGACTTTATTTATTTAGTCTTCAGATCACTTGTTGTTACTTGAATAAAACTGATATGCATACAGATTTTATTGTTTATGATTTTTTTCCCATGACTTTTTTTCCTAACCTACTCTATGATTTTTTTCAATATTTTAGTCTCGTTCACCTTGGCGATATTCCTTTTGGGTCAACACTATGATGATACAATTCAGTTCATACAGACACACATTCAGTCTACTAATAAAACATTCATGTTACTCTATTACAAGAGGTCAGCGTATAGTTTCCTGGGACATGAAGAAACCGAAATAAATGATACAACATTACTTAACTGTCTCACCGTATTTCCTTTTTACAAAATGTTATTCATTTACATTAGAATATAGTTACTGCGTACATTATTGTAAGAGGAAAGATGTTAGACTTAGTATAGATATTTAGTTTTCGGTTCACCTTTTCCCTATTCTGTATCGTTATATTATTTCCGAATGAAATATTGTTTAAATCAAAAATTGTTAACTTCCCCGGATAATCAGTGAATAATCTATTCACTATTTCAATGAATACCTGGTAATTGGTGGCAAATTCCGACGATGTGTCACTCTTGTCCTCCTCGTCGATCTGGTATTCGGATCCTTAAATTGAACATGATAAATATGTTGTAAGTATATAATGCATTGCTTACCTTGAATCTAAAATGCGAATCAGTATTTTGCGATTGACTAGCATGTGTTTCAAACAATATGTAAGTGAAATGGGATTGCTTGGTTTTAGCGTGTTTGTAGGGATATGGTCACACATCTGAATACTTAGTTTGGTAGTTTGGGTAAGAAGCATAGTTAAGCCTTTGTCCTATCGAATGATGATAACTGTTCGGTTTTCTTATAACATAAAACGCAGGTAGAATAATTACAATTGAAGAGATACTGATTATAAATTCAGAGGAAAACATGTAGTTTGCATGGTGGAACTAGATTTAGTCAGAACAATCTACTCAAAATGCCAGCCAAATAGAGGAATGATGTTAATAAACTCTATTTCAAGAGCCTGAATTCATATTAATATAAATAATTCATATATCAATTATTTGTCTTAAGTTATTAAGAAAATATCCAAATGACAAATAACCCAAAATATTGTAGTAGGTGACTGTAGTAATTAATAATTACGTTTACGATTTGAGAGAAATAAACATACACGCCGTGGTTCCCGTGCACAAATGCCGATGTCATAGAGAATTGGCTAAGTTTCATTGCAAATAAATCGCACACGTATCACTACCCATCATAGAAAATAACAAACTCATGCGGCAGTAACGCGTGTTACCTATGCATATTGTCAAATCAGTGTGAAAGCGGCAGACAGTCAAATTAAGCGGCGCCATACTGTCTATGGTTATTCTCAATGTTTATCAATAAACATGTGGTAATGTCCTCTTTAAATTGGCGTTGAGTCATCGTTAGTCAAGCCTTGACAAGACATTTACAGTGATAACAGGTGTCAATCATTCCGCTAGACATTCCAAGGCGGCAATTATCTTTGATCTTGAACTAGGGCCCGGTATGTGCGACATGTTATTGACAATCTATACTTTTTTGTGGTTTCTGCCAAACCGTCATTGGGCATATACTATTCCAAATTAAAAAGGCTGTTTTTGATATTTTTACCAACGTTTTATAGTGCCATTTGTCAAACATGTGAACTGAGAACTGAGCCGCGCAAACAATCTCATCAAGTGTATAATATGTCCATGTTAAAAAGGGGATTCAAACTGTAGTTACAAATTGTTTAAACGAAATAACACATATGCAGCTTCTTAATAAAAGATAGTTAGAGTTTCCGTGGCACTGCATGTTTGCAGAATAAATTACTTTTCATAGGCGATACAAAATCAAAATCTTCAGTTTTATTGTGACACTGCTTGTAGATATCACAAATAATCTTTGTTTATCAACATTGTTGTATTGGAGGTTTTTTAATAGTCGTATACCCGGGTGTCGCATTGTGCAGTTTTAGCAATGTACGGGGATCAAAAATCTAATAGATAACAACTAACGTTATACTATGTACATGCATACGGTAAAGCGATACGTTATTTTAGAACATATTTTAGAAATAATTGTCTTCTGTGTCAAAGGTTCTCACTATAACACTGCAGTTCACAACGAAGTGTGCTTTCTGCGACAGAGATAATAAAAGATGGTAGATGTAAATTGTTAGGTCCGTTCACAACTCTATATCGAACGTCTTATGTTAATAGAGTAGTCATTACATTTCTATATTCATGTATATGGCACTAAACGATTCCTTTACAATGTATGTATATTTGTCAGATATGAGCAATATCTCAGAAAGGGAAAACATTTCATAATCTTATGTGTGATGTTTTGCATAATATAATAATATCGAACGATAATGTATCTCCTCTATATGGTGATTTACACAGAAATAAACCGATGTCTTTACATAAATAAATATGTAGATATTTGGTCTTACCTGAGCTTTCTCCTGACTCTGACCAAATTCCATGCAGTGATGCCTCTTCCATTGCAAAAAGTCGATCCAAGATAATGAACAGCCTTTTTTCAACGCGTTTCAAACGTAACTGGCCATCAGACGTCTAAGTATATATGCATTTTGGATTTTTTAAACGGAAGTGAGAATTTGTATAATGTGGACGTCTCTGCCCAATACTAAAATGTTTTCACAATTCAGTTGAACGTTGAGTCGCAACGCACAGTTCATAAACGGCACCTTTCTTCTCACGATAAGATAATCTTATTGAAGGATTAACATATTGGCGCACATGTTTGGATCAGTGATTGTGATTTAAACAAAGCAGATTCTTCTAAAAACATCATGGTTTGCCTAGGTCACAGCCAGCAAAAGCGTTTACAAAATATAATATATTAGTTCAAATATTACTAATGAGGCCCTCTATTGTAGAAACGATCTTTGTTCTACGACAATCGTCAGTCGGTATGGGAAAACAAAATATTTGTTTATTTATTCAAATTTCATAGGCAATGTCATATGATTATAGACAAGGAAGATAAGAAAATAAATATAAAGAGTAGCCACTTTACATTTCAGTTAAATTTGCTCATGATTTGGTCTTTTCGTGGTAAATAGTGCCAAAATATAATATGCAGCTACCAGTAATTGTATCTACAATGATATAACTCAATCTGTTTTTCTCATCATTATTGCAGTGAATTGTCGTATGAAAGGCGTATGGCCTTTCTGAATAAAAACTGTTAAATTTAAACCAGACAAAACAGGTGAAAACTAGAATCTTTGAAAAGAGAAACAAGGGTAGTATTTTGATAGGGGTTTCACTGAAAAAATTAAGTTCACAGCGAAGCATTCTTGCTTAGTCTGTTCCTACAAATAGAACAGAAGGCTATAAGGACCAACCGTATTCCGTTATATATGTTGCTTCTGTTTCATCGTTTCATACATTGTCCTTTCATCATGCCGGGTTACTATCTTTAGATACAAAAAAATCACCCCAAAAAGCTATTTTTATTCATTAAAAACAACAACAAGGAAAAGATTTATTAAAGGTAACAGTAAGTGTTATCTGAAATATTTATATTCTATTATCCCCTTTATTTGGAGTGGGAGTGTCACATCATCATTCAACATCGGCTTCACAAATGGGATGTGCCCGACGGGTACAAACACAAAACAAGATATGGTAAATAATCTAACTGAATATTATGTAAAAACTAGAGGTGAGTTTTAAGATAATAAGTTAAGGATTACTTCAGATACTAAAATGAGTTGTTTCTTTCGTTTATTTAACGTCTGCTTCACAGAAAGTGAATTTTATTTAAAAAAGGTAAGTAAAAACTAAATGAATAAAATATAATGTTGTTTGTATAAAAGCACTGAAAGATGGCGTCAGTTTGGAATGAAGACTATTGCACACCATGGAATTAACTTCTCGCGCGTAACATATCACGTGACTGCTCGCTATGTCACGTGGTAGGTCATTGGTGCTATATGACACGTTCTCCTCAGCGGCAGAGTATACCCTGATTGGTATGCTTCAACAATCATCACATTCCTGTGTTTGCCCAGCTGCCTGCTCAAGTTGCCATTCATCGTAGATTAAGAAACTGGTCAAGTTTCTGGAGAGGGCCGGATTAACAACTGAATAAGTAAGTAATCATTTTACTTCTCCCATGTAGATGTTATGTTGCGTAGAAGATATTGATTAATGAAAGCTGAAAACAATGTCTTGTTTGACGATATGATGTAGATTAGATGGCAATGCGTTACATGTAAACAGCTTTTCTTTGCGATTTTTCAAACAGATTTAGAAGTTGCTTTCATACCATACGAAACTACTGTCTAAGTTGTCGAAAGTGAATGTGAGTCGAGAGTATGTTACTTTCTGAAATGTCTCAGTACAACTCCGGCTATACCACTCCCAGATAAAATATTTAATTAGTTTAGTGTCCTTGATACCATTTCACGACTGCGAGGTAGGTTTTTCATAACGAGAATACGACATTGGGTATGTCCGTAGTTGACGAGAACGTCTTTTGAACTATGATATATTAAAAATATCATAGTCGTACATAGACGGCACAATTTCACCAATAGCGAGAACCAATAAAGACTTATGCGTAAAATGTTATGATAAGATACACGTGAGGGTAATCGGAATTCAAAAGATGAATATGTTGACAATCTTCAGATAACCGTCACTTTAGAAAGTGTGAAATTCAAATATCATTCTTCCATAATGAAAGCTATCACTCTAGAAAGAGATAAAACTGCCAACCATTAATTGCCGACCTGAGCATTATGCCAAATCTTTTCTTCTTGATACAGGGAAATTATAAAACTGTAACTAGTTCGCAACCAGTTATTGTAGATCTTAACTTTACTGTAATTTCCATGCACTAAAACAGAATTGGATCCGTTGTGTTCATCAAGCATTCAGATATAAATCTTATACATGACCAGTTACATAACTAAACCCGAGTCTGAGGCGAGCATGCACTAGAGAAATATTGAACTGTAGAATGGGGTATTGATTATATTTCGAAAACTTACCGTTTTAATGTCTGTTAATTCGTTTAGGGTTCTGTTAGATAATAGAGTGACGCCTCTTGACTCGTTTTTAGTTATCTTACTACAAATAAATGTGAACGGTTCATATATGAATACAGTGTCAATATACTTCTTGTTCCAATAAGAGTGATGTTGGAAACACTATATACGACTCACTATGACAAATCCAATGACTATTTATCTATAAGTATTCTGGCAACTTCAACAATAGATCGTGTTATTTTGGAAACAAAACTACTTTGTTTTTAATTGAGAGAATATATAATTATGTGAACATAGTGAGAATTGCGTATGAACTCTTTGCTTTCAACGATGATAATATGAAAGGGGTGGGATTTTGTACAAGAACGCCACGAAACAAACGACAGTTGAAAGCAACAAACGCAGCATTAAAAACCTTTCATACTAGATTTATATGTGAAATTAAGCATTATTTCGCGGTCCATAACCAATTTAATTGCATTTCACACCGAAATATTAATTATTCATTATTTGTTAAGTCCACTTAGATTTGATGGTATAAATGTTCGAAGTATTTTACCGACTGATGTTATATTGATACTTTCGTACGAGACAACTTACACTCCTTTGATACCTCTGATTCAGTTTGACTGACCACATCAGAATCCAGAACAGGCTAACATCATGGTAGAACCAATATGATTAACCTAAAAGTGTATGGATTCACGTTTTTATTGTTATCGTATAAGGACGTGACGAAGCTATGGCTTGAGCATTACATCAATTTTTATTTAATGAATTATTGCTTTTTGAAAGGCTGTATAAGTTTATCATTATATAACTGGCACAGAAACTCGATCTCTGTAAACACTATCACCATGAATACGTATTTGGTCGCAAGTGTTTATTGTATGGAATGACATTAAGATGTGGCATGTGACTTTACTGCATTTAAACCAAACCTTTCGTCCAGTTCTTCGTCAGTAAATTGTACCTGCATATTCTGCTATAGAAATAGTAAACCATAGAAATAGTGCTTACTAGTTTTTAACATGTATATTTAAGACAGTGGCATCCTTACACTGCAAACACGAAAACGTCGGTTTTTTCCGTATATGGTCATTGGACGGAAAAACGACGTTATTTGGACGTTTTCAAACCATCGTTTTTCCGTCCAAATAACGTCGTTATTTGACATCGGAATTTACTGGGAGAGAACGATAGCGTTAAGCTCCTCCCTTTCTTGATTGACATTGTCAATCAAGCAACAGCGTCTACCGGTATTTCTACTTCTCAGATTTCATTGGTCAGTCTCCGCGTGTTAGATTACAGGCCCGCGTTTGACGCTGCACTCGAAGCGCTTAGCGGAAGTACTGAAATCAATCGTTCTGCGCATGCGGATTACTTAATGCCTTGACCAAATTTTCCGTTCTGTGCATGCGCGACTTCGCGTATTGTTTCCTAGATTTAATGTCACCACTATTTGACAATGGTTCATAAACTCAGTCACGTGAAGGTTCGGAATCGTAACGAGTAACTCCATTTAAATTAAAGAGGAGCCCCAGTGATATGGGAGATTCCAAGATGAAACTATTCTATGGCTATCTAGGCTGCCGCCCAAACCGATCTAAACGGGACCCGATAGCTTATTGTATGCTATATAGTCATATGGAAGTGGACAAGAACTATACATTTTATTCCGGCCGATTGTTCTTGCATTTACTTATAAGTCAGGAAAATGGACTTAAAAGGGGAGTTGTTGAATGTAATTATTTTAATTATTAAATGTTGCCTATACACTAATCTGGACGAACTTCTCATTGTTCTGTTTATGTCATCCTATATACTATTAGTATGTTACCGTTCTAAAGTCAACCTCTCACATAACATTATATTGTTCACAGTATCAAAGTTTAATCAACAATATCAAGAGCAGCGATTTAAACCACTGAAACACCCAAACACAAGGCTGTTATCAAGCGCTAGTGCAGACGTGATGCATCAGAAAAACTGTATCGTAATGTCTTCAGAAATTCAATTATACTACGAGATAGTACGGCTAACGCTGACTCACCGTCGGAACAAAGACAATATCGCTAATACAGATACATATATAACGTATTTGAATGTTAATACTAAAGAAAAACAATCATTATTTTTGCAGTGACGATATAACACGTATACACGTTTATTGTTAACTTTCATCAGTTTTGCTCTTCATTTTAATAACTTTGTTTTCACATATATATGTAGCAATACCCGACAAGCATGTCATACATAATTATGGGGCAGTTTTCAATCTTGTACTGACTTACTCTGGTGTTAATGAGCGCAGTTTATTGGCTTGTGTGTAAAACCCCGTTTTTCTGGTAATCCTATTATTACTTAGTTTATTTCTATCTAATGACACCCTGTTCTCTGGATCATGGCTCCGTGACTATCCATAACAATTAAGATGAACATTCAGTTCAAGTAAATGAATGAGTTTGTTTTGACGCTACAGTCAGTCAAAAAACCAATGCTGTGAGGTTTGATAACACTTCTACCAGGTCGAACATCGTGGATCCTCATTTTCGGCCTAAAGAGAATCATAGTTCATATGCTAATCCATCTGCGAATACCCCCCCACTCAAGATGACCTTACTTGTTGCTAAATCTATCATCTATCCCCCCAATATCACCCCCCACGCCCCCGCCCCCACCCCCCACACGCACGCACGCACGTCCACACGCACGCACACACGCACGCACGCACGCACGCACGCACGCACGCACGCACGCACGCACGCACACACACACACACACACACACACACACACAAACAACTGACCTAAATAACCTGGATAGGAAATACTGCTGATAGCCTCTGGTCAACTCAGCCGCGCCACCGCAGAATGTTCGTCCAACTCTGCAGGGGGCATTCTCAGTGGCTTCAAACGCGCTGAAATGTTTTCGCCTTGCATCCAAGATGGTGGACAAGTGAAATCGTATGAAATTTGGCTATTTTAGGTCCTATCTCTTTTTTGATTACACAATAAAGTCAATTCATAGTTACACGGTTGTGAAGAAGCTTACAACTTTATAAGACTTATTCATCTCATTCCAAAAAAGCTACTCGCGCTCACATAAAGTTGTAGTTATTATGTCACTGTTTTATTTCTTTAAAAATATATTACATGTTCAACAATATCAATTAAGATGAACATTCAATTTCCGATATAAGTAAATGGAAAGTGTGTTTTACGCCACAATCAGTCAAAGACCAACGTTGTCCGGTCTGATGACACAAAATCTACCAGGTAGCACATTGAGTACGACCTATCCCCATTGAAGTCTCCACTGTGGGTATTCCTGAGGACGAAAAGGCCCCATGTACCTAGGAATTTCATCAATACATTCATGCGCGGCATTCTCTGCCTAAAGAAGATCATATTGTTAACATGCTAATCCAACTCGAACTACCATCCCGCTCAAGATAAATGTTTTATGTAACATCCAACAGGCCCACATTTACGCACGCACGCACGCACGCACGCACGCACGCACGCACACACACATATTTGGATTTACCAATCCCTGAATTGAGAAGACGTGCGGTACGAAGCTCCTCCAAGTCATCATCAATATCCGTATATGTCTGTGATATCATTACCCTTCCAAAGCCGAATATACATTTATTGTGTTTTCTTGACAACAAATGTTATAATTGGGATAACACTTTCTGAGTAAAGTACAGATTCTCGTACTTTCTTGGGTTGAGTCCCGTCCGGGATTTGAACCCACACTGTGAGTGAGGCACCCAATCGCCAGAACACAAAGTTGGCGATCTAACCCAGCCACCGAACCAAAAATGTTAGTCCAGATGACGTATACTTTGTGTACTCCTCTGACAAGAGAAAAATGGCACGGCTTCTATGACCGAAAGCTTTGAACCAAAATGCCTTTAAGAAAGTGATCAACAGTAACACACATTATATTTGGATACCACTTTCTCAGTAAACTACATATTTTTAGGGTGGAGATAATAGACGTTGATGGTTGATTATCAATGGACTAATTAAAGCCAAAACTTAACTTATGAATGATTGGTAATGGGAAATGGACAATGGGCAAACGGGAGGCGGGGTAATCAGCGCCATGCCAGTTATCTGTTGGCTTCCCTTGTTGCGTTCCCTTCTTTGCTATCGTTTTACTTTTGTTGTTCTTACAGGTACAAATTTATGTTCTCTGCCTCATAGCATTTAATAATATGCACCTGATGAAGGAGAATGTATATATTCCGAAACGCAGTGTTCCTCCGTTGACATCCATAAATATATTTCCTTGTGTGTATCAGTTCTTAATGCCCTTAAAAGACTCAATCTAGCTTTGTTTTTAAATGTGGTGATATGTGCGTACAATATAATATGGTCATGCCTATATACATTTGGGTCTTTGTCTACATAAGCATTTAGACATACAATTTAGAGCTAAGGACATTGCAAATTCTGCAGTCATGAAGTACACGTCATAGCAAGCTGTGATCTTTATTCATACTTTAGATATTCGTAATGGAGATCTGTAACTGAAGTTTACCGTAATCTTCCGCAACTCTCACCTCCTGACCAGTTGAACGTCTTAGTGCATTCAGATGCCATTGTAAAATTCCAGGCTGCCCCTCTTTCTGTGATGTTTTGACGGATGAAATCTATTGCGTTATAATCTCTGTTTGCTGATATATAATATGTACATGTTGTAAAATATTTACGATATTTTAAACGTGTAATTCGATGCATATGCAATGCAATGTGAACATAAGTGCGGATGCACGAAGGCGGTTATAGTCATAGTTATACTGCGATGGATGTAGGGGAATGGTAGAGGGGTGTATGTATGTATGAAAGCACGAATACCGATACATGAGGGCGGATATAGTTATAGTTCGATGGATGTTGGGGAATGGTGGGAGGATGGATTATGTATGAAAGCATGTGCATGGATCCATGTTGGCTGACGTAGACATAATGGTGGGGAAAGAAGAATGTGATGTGGGTGGGGGTGTGTGCGAGTGTGCGTGCGTGCATGCGTGCATGCGTTGTGATACGAGGGTTGGCGAACATGTTGTCAGATGATTGTGTGAGTAAGTTAAGTGATTGAGGATGTGGCAGGTATGAGTATTGATACATGCAGACTTGGGGTTGTGGGACTGGGTGTGCCTGTACTGAGGTATTTCGTTTCACTCACTTATAGTGTTTTCTTTCACTCAAATACTGTTTTACGCATTTTAATGACTGAAACTGTAGTGACTCAAAGGTCATACTGGCCGGGCATTCAACATATCTACCCCAACTACATACGTAGCCATTTTTATGGTGTACAATTCTTCTTCTACCTCTCACACACACACACACACACACACACACACACACACACACACACACACACACACACACACACACACATACACATACACACACACACACACACACACAAAATACTAAAAGTATATTTAACAAAACGGATATTCCCTCACTTTAGAAATAGTTATCAATAAACATTTATCTGTTCATTGACCTCTTTATGCTGTAGGCATATAGGTACTTCCCACATGAACGGATGATGTGTATGTTTATTAATGTAACAGGTTTAGATGTATTGTCTATCTTATGTACAAACTACTAATTTGTTACTATCTTTTTCAGGAATCATGGCCTCCTTTAAGAAGAGAAAACGCTGTGAAGACTGTGGAAACTCTTTTTCCTCTTCTTCTAATTACAAGCGACACAAAGGCACTTGTCCGAGTACAGAACCTGAACCTGCATCTCAAGACAGCTCTGACGATGATGAAGAGGTATACTTTGATGAAGATGAGATTGACGATCTGCTTCAGAGTTTTCAACCGAGAAAACCTCAGCAAGCTGAATCCTCTCAACCTGCCTCACCGGAAGTGAAACCATTTTTTAAGGCACTCATCTTATGGACATGTTTCTTCCTCTGCATTTGGCAGTCTGTATTTTATATTTCCTCAAATGCCATCGCATTCCTTCTGAAATACCTTCATGCCCTTCTCGCCGTTGCCGCTCAGCATTACAAGTTCCTTGCTGTTGTAGTACCGATGTTCCCAAGTACTATTTTCCTG